CTTGAGGTAATCCTTTGCAATTGAATTACACAATCTTTGAATCATATACCTCAATTAAATCAAGTCTCTTGTTATTCAAGTGCAGTCTAATGCTTGTTTCGAGATGTATAAATTGATTATATGGTCTTGGAAAGTGAAAGATGTCGTTGCACAGAAAAAACACCAAAGAACGCTAGAAATAGAAGTCTTCGATGTGGGGTCTGATTTAGAGTCAAAACCGCAAACCAAACAACTTATGCAGTTTGAGGTTTTTTTTTCAAACCAAACCACATATAAAATAATGTCATGCACATAACATAAGTCAGTCCAAAAGCATATCAAATTTTAATCGAACTACACAAAATRGGACAATGAAATTGGTCATATAGAAAAGTATTCTMGACAAAATAAAAGTTGCATACGTTTACAAATTACAATACATGAATACAAAATAATTATATCATAAGTTAATGATTTCTACAACAAAAGACTCCGGTTATAAACACCTAATTAACTTGGACACCTACATCCAATATCATGATAATCTTTTACATTTATGCACACTTAACATTAAATCAAGACAAATCAAGAGATTTACGGCCTTGAGTATAAAAAATATACTTTTGTAAAAATTCCATGTCAGGACAACTCCACTTTTCATGGACACGCTTACTCTTAACCATCTTGCTGTGGTTCACAACTCTCCTAGATTGTGTCTATGGTTACCTTCTACATTGTGCATAGAAAGCTCCAACCTCTCCAACTCAAAGATGAAGACATCTATTCCYGAAAGGAACCAACAAAATATATCAAAAAGATCCTACAAAATATGCCACAAAGAAAAGCAAGAAGAACCATGTCCATTAAAAAAAATCAAGAACCAGCAGCATACAGTCGCATCATTCGTGCATCAGTGTTGAAAACCCCCCACGTGTATAACAGTTGGCCAGTAATAAAAGCAGTGAACTACATCTAAGGTGTCGTTTACCAAACACTTACCCAGGTAAGCACTTACCAAGTCACATTACCTTATCGGATGAATATGGTAAGGACCAATAATCTTACCCAATAAGAGTGAGGCAAGGACCAAAAGTCTTACMAGGTAAGTAATAACGACAACTCTTACCACGGTTAGCGCTTACAAGGTAAGTTGTTATTATATGATACCGTTTTGGTGGACTAAAATCTTAAAGTTGTGCATAAAAAAACCAATTATTCAGTTTGTTCCAGTTAGTACAAGAAACGGAATATTACATAGCAGAAAAGAAAAGAAAAGAAAAGAAGATAAAGTCTTACAAGTAAATGAGTTACATACTTGATTTCCTCAAAATGAACTCCAACAGACCATAAGACTAAAATCCAATCTTGTTCTTTCTGAATAAAAAATATTGTTGGAGCAAACAGCTCCAGTAATAAACCTGTTTCATGCTTTGTGCAGACTTTAAACCAACTGTTTAGCAGCACACATGAACAAGTTCCTTATGGATGGGAATGTGCTATGGCAAAGAGCCACACATTCATAGTTATAGTGTTATTTCAAGTACATCCCTACATATTGCATTGTATCTCTCGCCAATATATATGAAAACCCATTCACTAAGAATCATTTAATTAGATACACATATTTGCATTATATCTTTCGCCAATATCAATAGCGACTCATCGCTTCAACATATATAAACCTTGGCAACAGCTTTGGTAGTTGTACACCTTTGATATCTAGAAAAACGCTAACAGTTTATTTCTTTGAATTTATTAAAATGAGGTTTAAATGTCGGTTAAACCCCTATAGTTACTCCTTTCATTTGGTAGTATAGAGCAAGTCTTTATTCATCATCTTTTTCTATATTAAAAGCCAATTAGAATCTTATGTACCCATCCCAGTCAAATTATAATSGGACACCAAAGGAAGCTTTGAAGATAAGTTAACTGTGACAGTAACTGAGAATGCACAAGGCCAAAGAAACATCCTCATTCATCTCATTGATAGTTTTGAGCTACATACAAGAAGACATAAACATCAGGAGCACGAGAATGAAAATATTCATTCAAAGAACATTGTATATTTTCAATGACGGTACGTTACACAGAACAATACGAAAAACTTGAAAAAGGGAAATCCTAAAGCCTTCGACAATAAMGAAACCTCGAGTTTAATGCATAAGTAACACCAAATGGAAGGTAACATAGCAATATTAGATAAAAATTCCAGTTTTAATTGATGAAAGTTTTCAAAAATCCAGTCAACGATAAAATAACCGCTACTGCAAAGAGAGTTTCTTTTAGTAAAACACATAACATATTCTTCAATAGAGAATGTATTCAAGACTATATAAAAAATCAATAAAACCTTACCAAAAGAGATGAAGAATGGATGGGGAAATTTGAGCTTTATAGATTCAATGCTTTCTTTGAGATCCCTGTACAACTAATCCAATCTTAGGGAAGTTGATCGCCATGTCCACCAGTCTAAATCCAGATTCAAAAAGAAAACAATCAAGATTCGATTAGAATCCAGCCATAGAATGCAATTGTTATTCAAGAAAAATATAATCCACTACTACAGTTGCATTTATACAAAACTGGATGATTGAAGGAAAAAGTATAAGTGTGTACATTTAAATGTAAAGGAAAATGTTAGGGACACCTTCAACCGGCAGATTGCATTGCTTGAACTTCATAATTTTTTTTTCAAAACATGAGTTG